ATAAGACAAAAGGTTTCCGTGCCACCGAAGAAGTGGGCTGTAGTCCACGAAAGCTTATGCTCTAATAAATTTGTTAGTCTCTAAGGTGCCACAAGTACTCCTGTTCTTCTTTTTGTGTATACATCTAGGAACAATGAAACAATACTTGCAGGATGAGGGACTTGAGGCGGAGTAGAGAGGTTACTTTACCTCTGTATTTGGCACTAACATGACTGCTGCTAGAATATTGTGTCCAGTTCTGGTGCCCACAATTCAAGAAGGATGTTGATAAAGTGGAGAGGGTTCAGAGAAGAGCCACGAGAATGATTAAAGGATTAGGAAGCCTTATAGTGAAAGACGCAAAGAGATCAATCTATTTAGATTAACAAAGAGAAGGCTAAGGAATGACTTGGTTACAGTCTATAAGTTTTTACACAGGGAACAAATATTTAATAATGGGCTCTTCAATCTACCAGAAAAAGATATAATACAATCCAATGGCTGGAAGTTGAAGCTAGACAAATTCAAACAGGAAATAAGGTGTAAATATTTATGTTTGTGCTGTTTTAAACAAAACACGCCATTCACAAGCACTAGAGGTAAAGTCAAGACAACCTGTAAAGTACTTTGCAGCCATCTGTTGTAGAAAAGCTTGTTTTTGAATTCCATGGCAAGTGTTAACTTAATCTACAGTCCAGTCCCAAACAGGGGTGTTAGTATTCACCTTGGAGAACTAGACTTGCAGCTGAGAAAATTCACACAATATTCAACATACAGCAATGCAGATCTAGACTTGGCCATCAGAAAATCCATACCAACAAGATCCATGCAAAGCTTTCCAAAGGGGTTTGGTAGCACACTGCCAATCTATTAAGACATATTTCCTGTAGAGCTACACTGACTTAATAACACAGACTGCCAATCTCATAAAGCCATGCCAATGTATATATGAATTAATAACACAAGTCCATGATCTCCTGACACAGGCTGCTCGATGGTTCTCAGGGAAATTGCCAATAATAATATTATTAATCAATATATACGGGCAACTGAAGAAAGTTCAAACACAGGTCACTAGGGCTGACTAACCCACAGGACTTGAATTCTGTCCCCAAAGCCTCTTGCCTTGTCTGTCTGTCAAATGCAAGATTGTTATTAGATCAGTGCACAAAGAATCCTAAAAAAGAATCCCACAACATAACAATATCAAACCAAACACAGACCCTTCTCTTCTGAAGGAGTGGTATTCAAATAAATAAATGGTTAAGAGGGAGTAATTCTTCACGCACATAAAATCAACTTGCAGAACTCACTGATGAAGAG